TCCCTTCCCTTCCCTTCATCTCCCTTTTTCCTTCCCCTCCCTTCCCTTCCCTTCCCTTCCCTTCCCTTCCCTTCCCTTCTTCTCCTCCCTTCATCTTCCTTCTCTTCCCTCCTCTGTCTTCCTTCTCTCACCTTCTCCCTTCTCCTCCCTTCATCTCCCTTCTCCTCCCTTCCATCCTTCCTTCCTTTCTCCCTTCTCCCTTCATCTCCCTTCTCTTCCCTCCTCTGTCTCCCTTCTCCCACCTTCTCTTCCCTTCTTCTCCCCCATCTCCCTTCTCCTTTTCTTCCCTCCTCTGTCTCCCTTCTCCTCCCTTGGTCTCCCTTCGTCTCCCTCCTCCTCCCTCCTCCCTTCTCCTCCCTTCCCACCCCAGCTCGTTGGCCTCTTTGCTCTCACAGGCCTTTCCCTTCTTTATGGCTCATTCCGTGGGTGTCCTTGCTGGATCTGCTGTGGGGATGAGGAAGGAGAACTGAGGGAGGAGCTGAAGGGGCTGTTGGAGAAAGAAGCCTGGAAACACCTGGAAGAAATGAAGAAGGTGGGAGCAGAGCAGATCATGGAAGAGAAAATCAGACCTTTGCTCCTGCCCAAGGAGGACAATTTCTGGAAGGAAAAAAGGTCAAGGAAAACAGGAAGAAAAGTGGGGGAAGTTGTGGAAGCTGCTGTGAAGGACGTTTGGGAAGGGAGCCCAGGAGCAGATGAGCTACATGAGACCTTCATCAGCAGCAGGGACACAGAGGCAGGGGGGTCACCTCCAGAAGGTGACATGTCCGTCTGAAGAGGTGGGGGCCCCCAAAGGGAGAGCAGGTGCTGGTTGGGGCATCACCAGGATGACCCATCTGTCCTTCCCAACCTGCTCCCACCTGGGTGCTGAGCAGCACAGCAGCTCTGGCTTTCATGGTGGGGTTGGAATCGTAGAATGATGGAATGGTGTCAAGGCTCAGGGGAGCTTCTGGAGCCTCAGTGGAGCTTCTGGAGCCCCAGTGGAGCTCCTGGAGCATAAGAGGAGCTCCTGGAGCCCCAGTGGAGATCCTGGAACCTCAGTGGAGCTCCTGGAGCCTCAAAGCAGCTCTAGGAACCTCAGTGCAGCTCCTGGAGCATAAATGGAGCTCCTGGAACATAGAAGGGACTCTTGGAGCCTCAGTGGAACTCCTGGAGCCTCCGTGGAGCTCCTAGAGCATTAATAAAGCTCCTGTGCCTCAGTCCAAGTCCTGGTGCCTCAGTGGATCTCTTAGAGCCTAAATGAGCCTCCTGGAGCCTCAGTGGAAAGATAAAACTTTCTGAGGCCCCTCCAGCAGGAGCAGGACCCTGGGAAACGTGGCCAGTGAAGCTGCAGCCCCTGCTGGGGATGGAGGCAGAAGAAGAGTCAGACCTTGGCCCCTGGGCCGAGTCTTTCCATCCTGGGGCTTTTGTTGATGGTGCAAAACTTGATGAAAAAATTAAGCCAAAGGTGACAGGGCTCGGGGAGGGGGGTTTTGTGGCCAAAGCAGGAGCAGAGACACAGAGACAAGGTCCTTCCTTCTCAGGAAGTCCCACCCACCCACAAGCTGCAGAGCTGCTGTGGTTTCATTTCTCACGCTCAGAACCTGGAGAAAGTTAAGAGGAAACATCTGGAAGGGGCTGGTCCTTTTCACCACCCTGTATAAAAGTTGGGGTGTCCAGCCTGGAGAAGAGAAGGCTCCAGGGAGACCTGAGAGCAGCTTCCAGTGCCTGAAGGGGCTCCAGGAAAGCTGGGGAGGGACTTGGGACAAGGGCAGGGAGGGATGGGATGAGGGGGATGGATGAAAAGTGGAAGAGGGAGATTGAGGTTGGAGATAAGAGGAGGAAATTGTTTGTCTCCAGAGCAGAGCTGCTCCAGCCCTCCCATCATCTCTGTGGCCTCCTCTGGACTCTCTCCCTGTCCTTCTTGTGTTGGAGACCCCAGAACTGGACCCAGTTCTCCAGGGGGGGTCTCACCAGAGCGGAGGGGGATGATCCCCTCCTTTGACCTGCTGGCCACATTTCTAGAATGAGCAGTGGGAGGGATTCTTGGGAAGTGGGATTCTTGGGAGTTGTGGTTTAACCTCCTCAGAAAAGTTCTCCACCCCAGAAGAGTGACCCACACAAAGACAGCAGGACTATTTATTGGGATCTTCAGTGATGGGCACAAATAAAACCCCCTTTTCATGCTTAGGTTGACACAACTGATGTCACCTTCTGGACTGAAACCCATGGTTGGTTTCACTGGGAGGAGGTGAAGGTCCTGGGGGTGCTTGGAAGATCTGAAGGTCCTCTCTACCCAGTGACCACTGGTCTGAAGGCTGAGTCTTCTCCTTGATTGGCTCATGGAAGGATTAGCAAGCAATGGTAGGAGCTTCTTCTATGAAAGAACTTAGGTTTGGTGGCACAGGTTTGGTGGCACAGGTTTGGTCTGCCCAGTGTGGTCTCAGGCTCTGTCAGACATGGCCACATCTCCTCACATCACCCATTCACTCATCATCCAAGTCCTGCACGATTTTCAGAGGCTCCATGTCAGGCCTGGCAGCAGCAGGGCCCGTTGAGAAGAAAGGAAGAACCTTCCCTTCCTGGTTCTTCTCACCTCCCAAACTGAACGTGTACAGAACCACCTTCTCCTGGGCGTGGTAAAACAAGAGCTGCTTGGCTGGGATGTCCAGGAAGATCCCAACCTTCTGCAGCTTCCCACTCACACTCAGACGTGTCCAAGGATCTGAGTAAGCCCAATGGTCTTGCCCATCTGCAGTCCCCATGGCCCAGAAGCCATTTTTAGGGGACAGACTCAACGTCCCTTTGCGAGTCACGGATTCCCGGGCTATTCCCAAGGCCCAGCTCCTTCTGTTCCCAACCTCCACCTCCCAGAAGTGTCTCCCAGAGGTGTATCCTTGCTTAGCCAACACGAAGAGGTGGGAATCAAATCTCCTTGGGTTGCTGGGCAAGTGTTTGATGACACAAGTGTCCTTCATTCTCTTCCCATCATCAAAGATGTCCAGCCTGGGATGAGCCGTGTCCGTGTCCAGGGTGACGTCCCCTGCAATGACCAAGAGATCAAAACCATCAACCTGCTGTGGTGGAACGTTCTGTGTCCCCCACCATCCTCTTGCCACCCTTGTTCTCCTCTCTGGTGTGTCCTGTCTTGGTCCAGGAGGTCTCTGATCCTGCTGTCCCAGATCTCCCACGTCCCTTGTCTCTCCTTGGTGGCTTAAAATGGTAAGAGTGAGATTTAGGTTGGAGTTCGGATGGAAATCTTCACTCTGAGGGTGGTGAGACATTGGAACAGGTTGCCCAGAGAAGCTGTGGCTGCCCCATCCCTGGGGGTGTCCAAGGGCAGGTTGGATGGGGCTTGGAGCAGCCTGGGCTGGTGGGAGGTGTCCCTGCCCCTGGTGGGACTTGATGCTCTTTAGCTCATGGAATGGTTTGGATTGGAAGGGACCTTCAAGACCACCTGGATGATCCACTAGATGGTCTTCAAGGTGGCTGCCCAATCCCTGGGACTGCCCAAGATCAAGTTGGATGGGGCTTGGAGCAACCTGGGCTGGGGAGGGGGTGTCCCTGCCCATGCAGGGGGGTGGATCTGGATGATCTTGAAGGTCCCTCCAACCCAACCCATCCCATGATTCCATGATCTGATTAGGAAACTGTTCTTCCAGTTGAGAAGTCATCTCAACTGTCCCCTGGGAAAGAGGGACGTGTTTTCCAGAGCTGAATTCAGGCTCCAAGAGGTGGGAATTCCAGGTGGGTTCTTTACTTACTTTTGTGTTGTTTGGCCTTCAGAAATTCTGTAGGAAAAAAAACACCACAAAACCACAATGTTGAAGGATGAGCTGAATGGGTTGAACAAGAGACCCAGGGAGCTCCTACAAAGTCTTCTGCAGTAGGATGGCTGCTCTACAGGTCTAGGAGCTCCTCAAGAACCCATCTCATCCTCCCAAGAGGAAAAGCCAGTGGGCTACTCAAGGGATTGGCCTTGAAGGGAGATTGGAAAGACACCATGGATAGAGGAGGTGGACATGGATGGAGGACATGGTCCCTGGGAGGAAATGGGGTCCAAAGGATGAGTCCAAAGACCTCAGTGTGTGGAGAGGAACGTCACAGAAAGGGGGAATCCCAGTGTCTTCTAGACACTTGGCAACCTCTCCACTCCATCATCCCATTCCTACATGTGTTGGGGTCCCATGTGATCCCTTCGTGTCACTCACTTCACCCTGAGGGTGGTGAGAGCCTGGCCCAGGTTGCCCAGGGAAGCTGTGGCTGCCCCATCCCTGGGGGTGTTGATGGGCAGGTTGGATGGGGCTTGGAGCAGCCTGGGCTGGTGGGAGGTGTCCCTGCCCATGAGGGGGTTGGATCTAGATGATCTTGAAGGTTCCTCCAACTCAACCCATTCAATGATTCCATGATTCCCTCTCCTGTGCAGAGTTTGTCCTTAGCATCATGGGATGTTTCCCAACCAAAGTGAGGGAGGGAAGAGCAGACCAAGGATTCCAAGGAATCCTCAGCCCTGGCTGGAGGTGTCACTTACTGATTTCTCTCAGCAGCAGCTCTGCAAGGACAAAGAGAAGAGACCTCAAAGACAGAACCACCACCATTTCTATATGAAGCCCTTAAAGAACATGGATGATCTTCTGCTTTCTCCCCCAGAAAGGCCCATGGACACCCAAGGATCACTATGGATCCAACCTCCTGGTTCCTGGTGTTGGGCTGAAAGGGCCCCAAGGACACAAACGTGTCTCTTGGAAGGATCTTCTCCTTCCACAAGACCATGGGCAGCTGCTGAAAACACCCAAGGACACCAAGAAGTCTTTCTTGGAAGGAACTTTTCCTTCCAGAAGGGCAAGACTCAGTCAGCAGAGACCACTTACCCTTCTCCTTCTGGTACTGGGCTACAAGAGGAAGAGAAAAGTCACTTTAGTTCCTG